AATATACAATTTGGTCTCACCTCACTGAGATGGTGTCCACTGGTGCGGTCCACACCCCCTAGCTACGCCACTGGGAAACAATACATGGACCCTAGCCTTTTCTATTTCCAATACCATAACTCAATAACAGCCACTTCTAATCCAACCACCAACTTTAGCTATTTTCCCAAGTTCACAATCTCTCCTCAAATCTTTGAGATCAAATAAAAATGGTTGGCACAAGTCACTCACAAGAATGGAGAGAAAAAAAAGAAATGAAGTTTGGGGTTGGGGGTGGGGTGGTGTTTGGGGTTGGGGGGTGGGGGGGTTGGTTGTGATGCAGTTTAAAACAAATAAGAAACGATTTTTCGGGTATGTAAAATTGGAAATTTCTTTGTATATTACTTAGTAAAGTATAAAAGATAATTATGAAATATTATTTCGTCTGTAATAAGTCTAAAACTCAAGTTGTGGAGACCAGCAATGTAAGGCCTACCGGTACGTGAACCAGCAATATAGGGCCCACCGGTACGTGGACCAGCAATGTAGGGCCCACCGCTACGTGGACCAGCAATGCAGGGCCCACCGGTACCTTGACCAGCAATGTAGGGCCCACTGTTACGCGGACCACCACTTTTGGAGAAAAATATTTTTTGATATTACTGACCTGAACCTTTACATATAATTAAAGTAGAACAAGAACAGCAACCTTGGTTATCTTAGAATTTTAGAAAGGTTTGAAAAGACATTTTAGTCATCGTTTATTTTGTTGTATGAGCTACAGTCATTGTACAGGGTTTTGAAAAAAAAACTAATGATTCTTACAGGAAAGATACCCACAAAATTGTGTTTATTACACAGATTGTAATACATTTAAATTAGGGAAAATTAGCAAATGAAAATCATTTTTTAAAACTCTGTCTGGTTTTGATTTTAAAGTCTACATGTTGTGTCAAAATGTAGTAAATTGCAAAACTCTCTTTGGATATACGAATGTGCACACGTGACTCGTATCGGCCTTTTCCAAGCCAAGGAGATTTTTAATCGCTGGATCTCGTGATAGATAAATCTCTATGGAACAAAATGACAGTCAAGCTGTAGAAAAGCATCTTAACTTTAGAGCTAGTTGCACACTGACGTTACGGTAGACTGTAAAGGTCCGAAATGTGAACATTTTAAGGGTTAATAGTTTCAGCACGATCTCAGACCTGATACCAAAACAATCTTAAGTTTTACAGTCTCAATGAAATCACTGGGTGTGATGCAAAGAAATAAAATGTACGCCCATTTCAGCCTGTATTACAGCTTTTATTACAGGCTCAGGTTAGATTCAAAGTCAAGTCCTGCGACACAATAAGTCTGTCTATGTTTACTTGAGAAAAGGTTATGATTTAACAAGGGTTCTAAATTGTTTTATTTTTTCGCACAAGTCTCATTATAAAGTGATGCAATACAACATGCTCTTCTATCTCGCTATATCCTGTAAAGTTGTGTTCGTAGAGTAATTCAAAATTTCAAAATCTATTTGAGTCACGTATACATGTGTGTCTATTTCATGAGGCGTGCGTAAATGGAGAGTTACCAAGGGATCTCACACGGACAGCTACCATGGGATCTCACAATGACAGCTGCCCTGGGATCTCACACGGAAGCTACCCTGGGATCTCACACGGATAGTTACCATGGGATCTCACACGGATAGTTACCATGTGATCTCACACGGATAGTTACCATGTGATCTCACACGGATAGTTACCATGGGATCTCACACGGATAGTTACCATGGGATCTCACACGGATAGTTACCATGGGATCTCACACGGATAGTTACCATGGGATCTCACACGGATAGTTACCATGGGATCTCACACGGATAGTTACCATGTGATCTCACACGGATAGTTACCAAGGGATCTCACACGGATAGTTACCATGGGATTCACACGGATAGTTACCATGTGATCTCACACGGATAGTTACCATGTGATCTCACACGAATAGTTACCCTGGGATCTCACACGGACAGCTACCCTGGGATCTCACACGGACAGCTACCCTGGGATCTCACACGGACAGCTACCCTGGGATCTCACACGGACAGCTACCCTGGGATCTCACACGGACAGCTACCCTGGGATCTCACACGGATAGTTACCCTGGGATCTCACACGGACAGCTACCCTGGGATCTCACAAGGACAGCTACCATGGGATCTCACACGGATAGTTACCATGGGATCTCACACGGATAGTTACCATGGGATCTCACATGGACAGCTACCCTGGGATCTCACACGGATAGTTACCCAGGGATCTCACACGGACAGCTACCCTGGTATCCCTCAATGCAAAAGTTACCAAGATGCAAAACTGTTCATCAGATATATACTTAAGCCAGGTGTTCCTTGGAGAGATACAGCATGCTGCAGTAGCCCTTACATCTGAGAAATCAAGAAAAGCAAAAGAGTTTTATTTAAAGGGGCACTTCGTACCAAGTGTTTCATTGACATGCCCACATTTCTTTAACTGGAAAAACGCAAACATTTCTGTATCAGTACTCTTCCTTACCCCACCCCACGATTTTAGCTAATCGAGTATCGTTCCTAGCTGAGATACTTACAGTGCAATTTACGAGGCAACGAAAAGAAAGTATGTGCAGAAAATAGTTTCAAAATTATTACAAAATTAAACAAATTAACTTTCTTCTACAATTCATTTCGAATCTGTTGGCCTCATTGAGTGCCTTCGAATCTGTTGGCGTCAAGGTGTGCCTTCGAATCTTTAGGCTTCATGGAATGCCTTCGGATATGTAGGCTTCATGGAGTCCCTTTGAATCTTTGGGCTTCACGGAGTGCCTTCGAATCTTTAGGCTTCATGGTGTGCCTTCGATTCTGTAGGCTACATTGAGTGCCTTCGAATCTGCACTCTTCATGGAGTCCCTAACTTCCCTTATTCAACTTTATCTACGCAATGCATTTTAAGAAATTAAAAAACAAATTATTACCTTTTAATTAATTTTTAATGTTGTTTTTCTGTTTGGGGGGGGGGGGGAACGATACTTTCTTTTTGCGCCAGACATCAAAAGATACTCCTCAGAATGAATTTTATAAATAATTAACCTTCTTAGATTCCCTTATTCAACTTTATCTACGCAATGCATTTTAAGAAATTAAAAAACAAATTATTACCTTTTAATTAATTTTTAATGTTGTTTTTCTGTTTGGGGGGGGGGGGAACGATACTTTCATTTTGCGCCAGACATCACAAGATACTCCTCAGAATGAATTTTATAAATAATTAACCTTCTTAGGTACATACATATTGGGGGTAGGAAATAGGGTGTGTACATTTTTACGTGGATGACACAATCTCATGACATCTCAAAGCTCAAAATATCCCACAATCCAATGATATTACAGTGGTTAGAAATAGATGCTATATTCTCATTTTACAAATAAACACATGTTGACGAATTTAGAAAATCAATGACGTTAACAAAACGTAGGTACATTTATGAAATTCATTCAGTTTTGTCTAAAGAAAGCCAACAAAATAAGTATCATGAATCATATAGTTGTGTGCATGCAGATGCGTAGCGAGGGTGTTTGGCGCCCGGGGATAAGGTTCGCGCCCGGGGACAAGATTCGCGCCCGGGGACAAGATCCATTTTAAGGCGCCTCTTTTTTTTTTTCAACTCTCAAGCTAAATTATTTTGATCAATAAAGTAATATCAAAGCACATTTTGGCGCCCCTAACTAGCTGGCGCCTGCGGACATCTGTCCCCCCTGCCCTCCCCTCGCTACGCCTCTGTATGTATGTAAATGTTGTGATCTACTTTTAAACAATAATTGTCTTCACCGCCTGTAAGTGACGAAGGAGGAGAACATTTTAATTGAAATCGTATTTAAAATTATGTTGGTTGTGCACTTGGATCAAAGGGGAACCAACCGTGTTTTGTACTGCTGTGGACCACTTGGGGGGGGGGGCGTGTTGCAGAAGTGAACTCTGTGTCAAGGCAAGAGACCTCTTACGCTGCCACTTTCCTTCGCCCCCCCCCCCCCCCCCCCCCCCCCCCCTCCCCTCGGTCTATTTACACCTCGCTTTCGGTGAACTTGCCGCCTCTCAACGGGTCCGCCAGGACGGTTTTAACAAGTGACATTTCAAAGCTTTCATTTTGGACTTATGCCCACCTCGTGTTTTGTCTACCAAGTAAGTTCAAATGTCCATGATAATTAACGATAACTTGCACAAGTGGAGGATTGCGGGCCCTGCTTACTCCTTCCTTTAACATCTTTCTTCTTTTTTTTAGTATGTTTCTTAATAAGATTACATTCGATGCAATCACACAATTAACCGGTATAAATTCATAACTTAAAACAAACACTTCTGTCGTCAGGGGCTGCAATTTACCAATTTTAATTACGCTGTTTTGTTATGCCATCATATGTCATGACATCAAGGGTGTCATGTAATTTTATAAGTGGCATCTCAAGAAAATGGAAAAGTTCCCTCTAAAAGGGCGAGATCGCGTTTGACTATTAAACCGTACTGTCAAACAAGTGGTTTAATCTTTTCAAAGTTCCTGTCGAATCCATTGAAGGATTGTTATTGCTCTGCTTTGTGGTAGTCTTTGAGTTTTTTCCTTTCATTTTGGTGTCGTGCGGTATCGGATTCGCCCAGTGGTTGTGACGATCCTGACCTTTCTTCAGTAATCTATGGTAATAATAAACTCCTATAAGTAGGCATATATAGGCATATATATATATATATATATATA